AAAACTGGCCCTGATGTAGAGCTAACACAGGCAGGAGACAGGGCAATCGAGAGCACACACCAACAGAAGAGTCTTTTCTTTTTTTGGAATATTTTTTGTATTTTTTTAAGAATAAAAGGCAGGTATTTTTAGAAAATATTCAGAAATGGAAAATTAACCAAAAACTGGCCCTGATGTAGAGCTAACACAGGCAGGAGACAGGGCAATCGAGAGCACACCGCAACAGAAGAGTCTTTTCTTTTTTTGGAATATTTTTTGTATTTTTTTTAAGAATAAAAGGCAGGTATTTTTAGAAAATATTCAGAAATGGAAAATTAACCAAAAACTGGCCCTGATGTAGAGCTAACACAGGCAGGAGACAGGGCAATCGAGAGCACACACCAACAGAAGAGTCTTTTCTTTTTTTGGAATATTTTTTGTATTTTTTTAAGAATAAAAGGCAGGTATTTTAGAAAATATTCAGAAATGGAAAATTAACCAAAAACTGGCCCTGATGTAGAGCTAACACAGCCACGAGACAGGGCAAATGAGAGCACACCAACAAAAGAGTCTTTTCTTTTTTTGGAATATTTTTTGTATTTTTTTAAGAATAAAAGGCAGGTATTTTTAGAAAATATTCAGAAATGGAAAATTAACTAAAACCTGGCCCTGATGTAGAGCTAACACAGGCAGGAGACAGGGCAAATGAGAGCACACACCAACAGAAGAGTCTTTTCTTTTTTTGGAATATTTTTTGTATTTTTTTAAGAATAAAAGGCAGGTATTTTTTAGAAAATATTCAAAAATGGAAAATTAACCAAAAACTGGCCCTGATGTAGAGCTAACACAGCCAAAAGACAGGGCAATCGAGAGCACACACCAACAGAAGAGTCTTTTCCAACCAAGCCAACCCAATGCAAGTCTTTTTCCTACCAACCAAGCCAACCCAAAGCAAGCAGCCCTCCCAGACCTCTCTCCTCCCTCGCCTCCGCGCAACAAATGAGCTCTGCGGCCACGCGGAGCCGCTTTTAAAGGCCTTGCCGGCCAATCAGACACAGCCACGGTGCACTGCTTGGGTGCTTGGGAGCGCCGGATTGGCTCCCAGGCACCAGCATCCTCCATCCCATTTCCGAAACGGGCGGAAGCTCGTTAAAAGAATGAGGGATGCCGCTTCGTTATTTTAAAACCCTTCCGGGTTTGAAAATGTGTTTTGTAATCGTTTCGTAAATGCTAAAAATAACGAATAATTAACGAATTACAAAATTAACGAACAAAACCGCCCAGGCCTACTATATATGTCTATTCTCTTTCTAATTATTGTAACCGGTGTTACATTTTCATCTTCCCCTTAATGGTTTTCAGAAATATTTTTTTCTACTGAGACTCATCAAAACAGAGACTGACCTATTGAGTTGAGAGCCAACTGTATACGACTTCTAACAAGTTATTAATACACAGTTTTAGTGCCACCTGTTCTTTGCATGCTCTTTGGGGGGAGGGGGTATTGTCTGTAGGATTTACTTAGGCAAGGAATATTCAGAGGTGATTTTGCCAACCCCTTTCTGTAGTACCCAATGGGTTTGTTGTTGTTGTTCATTCGTTCAGTCGTCTCCGACTTTTCGTGACTTCATGGACCAGCCCACGCCAGAGCTCCCTGTCGGCCGTCACCACCCCCAGCTCCTTCAAGGTCAGTCCAGTCACTTCAAGGATGCCATCCATCCATCTTGCCCTTGGTCGGCCCCTCTTCCTTTTACCTTCCACTTTCCCCAGCATAATTGTCTTCTCTAGGCTTTGCTGTCTCCTCATGATGTGGCCAAAGTACTTCAACTTTGTCTCTAGTATCCTTCCCTCCAGTGAGTAGTCGGGCTTTATTTCCTGGAGGATGGACTGGTTGGATCTTCTCGCAGTCCAAGGCACTCTCAGAACTTTCCTCCAACACCACAGCTCAAAAGCATCTATCTTCCTTCGCTCAGCCTTCCCTAAGGTCCAGCTCTCACATCCGTAGGTTACTACAGGGAATACCATGGCTTTGACTATGTGGATCTTTGTTGCCAGTGTGATGTCTCTACTCTTTACTATTTTATCGAGATTGGACATTGCTCTCCTCCCAAGAAGTAAGCGTCTTCTGATTTCCTGGCCACAGTCTGCATCTGCAGTAATCTTTGCACCTAGAAATACAAAGTCTGTCACGGCCTCCACATTTTCTCCCTCTATTTTCCAGTAGTCAATAATTCTTGTTGCCATAATCTTGGTTTTTTTGATGTTTAGCTGCAACCCGGCTTTTGCGCTTTCTTCTTTCACCTTGATTAGAAGGCTCCTCAGCTCCTCCTCGCTTTCGGCCATCAGAGTGGTGTCATCTGCATATCTGAGGTTCTTAATGTTTCTTCCAGCAATTTTCACCCCAGCTTTGCATTCATCTCAAGCCCCGCACATCGCATGATGTGTTCTGCATACAAGTTAAAAAGGTTGGGTGAGAGTATGCAGCCTTGCCGTACGCCTTTCCCAATCTTGAACCAGTCTGTTGTTCCGTGGTCAGTTCTGACTGTTGCTACTTGGTCCTTGTACAGATTCCTCAGGAGAGAGACAAGGTGGCTTAGTATGCCCATCCCACCAAGAACTTGCCACAATTTATTATGATCTACACAGTCAAAGGCTTTAGAATAGTCAATGAAGCAGAAATAGATGTTTTTCTGAAACTCCCTGCCTTTCTCCATTATCCAGCGGATATTGGCAATCTGGTCTCTTGTTACCCAATGGGTTTACTTTACGTTAAATACCTTGATTTAATATATAGCATCCTTAATGCCAAAAGGCTTAAGATTTTGTAGTGTTCCTGTTGTTTGTGGTGATCAAGAATACTTCTTGACAGATTAAGGCTTAACTCCTCAGACAGAACACATTTGTTATGAATAGTGCTGTTAGTACTCCATGCTACAAAAAAAACCCTTTATTCTTTATAAATCTTTATTCCACTATGAACTGAAAATTGTTATTTTTTTGCAACTCTGGTCAGAGTATCCTTATTGATTTTCACTTAAATTATGACCAAAACCAGATCAACCACCTGAAATCAAATTCACCCTCTTTGATAGTGTTAGAAATTGAAACTTCAGTTCTGTATACAGCCATGGAAAAAGGATACATTGAATTTAGTGACTCTTTTTTCGGCATACACATGCATGTGATTGTGGTGTCGGATTGTGTTATAAGGCCGCATTTGACATACTGTTAGTGATGTGTGTGTAGAAATGTGACAGAATGCGTATGTAAGTCTCTTTTTGGACAGGGCACATGGACGCTATTGTATAGCCCTTACTATTGTCTCTAAAGCAACTTCCCGCACAGCTGTCCAGCTCTAGAAGATACTGCTGCTCCTTACAGCAAGGGAGGAGAGGGAGGACAAAGTAATTCAAGAGATGAAAATGCAATGGCTCTCAAACAGAAGAGAAAGAAAAAGAAGATACACTTTATCTATTATCACACCTTTGTTTTTGACATCCTCTGGGGCAAGACCAGGTGCGTGTTCATAATTTGAACAGCATTCCACTTTCCTTCCCTCCCTTTTAGAAGCCAGCAGCAGAATATCTCACAGAGTTTGACAGCTGTGAGTGCAGAAAGTGGAAGTACATGGGAGGGAGCATTAATAATCTGCCTCCTTGATAAAGGCCCTAAACCATTGTTTGAATACTCAGGCAGATCCAAACACAATTGCCTTGTGTCCAGCAGTGCATTCTGTCTATAAATTTTAAAGCAAGTGATCAAAAGAGGCTGGATTCTGTCACATTAAGTGGTACCTTGCTCGTATGCTGTTTATGTGGAAGGATAAATTTGTATTTTGTGGTATGCAAAAAAGACCTTTGATAATATACTCCGTTTTGAAAATATGTATGCCATCCTTTCCCATAGTCTAACACAAGATATATAAATTATCACAAGCATACTGTGTTTCTTTGAGTCTTAAGAAATTCAATTGATGGTAAAACTCACCCTAATTTTAGTACCAGTACCAACAAAAAAATAAAATAAGAAGCACCTGTAATTCTGAGATTCACTCCATTTTTAGAGATGTCTAGAGGAAAAAGTACGTCTTATAATAGAAGGAATATGATAACATGCAAATTTCCCCTGTTGAGCCTTCTAAATGGCTCTCTTTTCCCCTGCTAATCTAAATGTGTATGTACTGATCAAGGGCAGTATCTTTAAGCCATGCTTGCATAATAATATTATAATGGAGGCTAATAAGGAAATCTTTGTATGTAGTAGGTAGGCACACATGTCTACAGTAGAATAAATAGATTAGAATTTCATTTTCTTCTATCTCAAGTATTACTTCACTCTTTACTGCAGGTAATCTGCTGCAAACCAATTCCAAAATCTGTTTTTCCAGCCCGTCTTTGCCATTCTTCCAGGGGTGATGCTGGTTAATGGTACAAGCAGTCCTCAAGTTACAAGCATACAACGTATATCTGACTCATAGTTAAAAATGGGGATAAAACAACAGCAAGCGAGAGGAAATCTATCTCTAGGAAAGGAAATTCATTGCTGTAAGAGTTGTGGGGAAAAGATGTCTCCTCCAAGGCTGTATCAATAGTCCTTATTTCCACGACCACCCAAATTTTTCAAAATCCAATTGTCACAGGGACAGGAAGTGTTATGAAATCTTCTGAATGGTCATAGACAGCAAAACAAACATTACAGGGGTATTAACCTTTCTCCATGCTGTCCACCCAAAACTAATTAAATAAATAAAATAAAGATTAGAGTTATACTTCAAAATGTACTTACCTACAAAATCAGCTTATTAGCAAACCTATAGAACCCATCTTCTTTGGAACCTAGGACTGCCTGTATCTTGGAAGATAAAAGAGTGGTGTAAGTGTGCATAGAAAAACTTTGTTTGGGCATATTCCTAATAACTTTCAAATTCTTCCATGAATACCCAGGTGTGCTTACTACTCCTAATGGGGCTGAAAGTTCTGACATTGGTTTAAGTAGTGTTTCAAGACAAAAATACTATTTGTTCCCTCATTAGATGCCACTTCTGTTGGTCAAAGGAGAGCTTATATGGAAATTACAAGAAGAGGGATTCCACTTAAACATTAGGAAGAGCTTTTGTACTATAATATCAGTTAGATAGTAGTGTAGACTACAAGTGTGGAGGAATCTCCATTTGCGGACTTCTTTGAACAGGTTAGAAGAGCATTTTAAGGAATACTTTAGTTGTATATTCTTGCAAGGAATTGAACTACAGTAATATTTGACTGTGATTCTGTCTGTAGTCACTCAGAACAAATTCTCTTTCAAACTTTTCAGAAATTGCCACCAACCAAAAATGGGTTATGTGTATTTAGAGAAGCAGGAATAGTCTGAAACCAACCTCATAAAAGCAAATGTATTCATTGACAGGGCTGTCTTTTTCCCCCTTACTGCCAGTGACTGTTTTCTTGAGCACACTGACTCCAAAATTCTACGTTGCACTTACGGGGACTTCATCTCTGATATCTGGTCTGATATTTGTAAGTACTCTTTTCTCTTTTGTCCCTTACTGAAACCTATGTTTCTTCAGAACAAAATATAGCCATTGATTTATTCTATTGTTTGGGTATCTATCATTTTAACCTTGGTAGGGATTACTGTAGAGAAATTTCAACCATTTGTTGTACAAGGAGTGTCCACTTATTTATTTTTGTTGCATTTTGGAAAAATAAACTAAGTGTTTAATGCAGATACTATATAATTAGATAGCAAATTAGATTTCATAGTTCCTCTAGGTTTTGAAAACAGTTCTTGGAATGTAACTGTTGCTGCTAGTTGCTGATATTGTTGTTGCTTATTGATATTATCTAACCTCACAAGAGTCAGAGAATCTTTCTTTTACTGTTACGTTGGCCATATAGCAACCATGAATAGTAGGTCTTTGTATTAGCAAAGCTAAATAATTTTTTAAAAAACACGAGGTAATGTGTTTTTAAAAACCAGGCTGAATGGTACTTTTTTGATATTATCAGTTGAACTGTAGGTGGTACTGTTGTACAGAAAAAGATGGATCTTATTATATGTATAGCATGAGATGTTCATGAGATCAGTGTGCCTTTTCCAGCAGTATTTTGGGAAAGCATTTTTTAAGATGAAAAGTCCTTGTGGCACTTCTCTGGCTCTGTGCTTATGAGCTGTCACTGTTCAGGTGTAATGCTCTTTAATTGGTTCCAGCCCTAAGATTTAGAAGAAACCAAAATTATTCTGGAAATGTAATCATTCATTTATGGACATTTCTTTATTCAGTGATTTGTGGTATCTATTGTAAATTTATCCAGAAGATTATATTGTTTTTCTTTGGTCTATCCTCAGATATCAGAAAAAAAAATCACTTACAGCCTTTTTTTTCATAAAGGAACTAAACGTTTTTCAAGTAATCATATATTATTTCCTACAGTTTGTGAAACAATCAGTTCTAGAAAGAACAATTACCTGGTTAAAGTATTACATATCAATCTAAAGTAATAAAAACCATAACTGAAATTCTCCTATGCATCAGGAAGTTTACAGCCCCCCCCCCTTTTTGTGTGTGTGTGTGTGGAGTTGATAATACTGTCGTCATCAATCTAGATCAAGCATGGGCAAGCATTTTTGGCCTGGGGCCACCTTGTGGGCCTGGCTGCAAGGGCTGGTCCAGGAGGGAGTGCAGGTGGGGCCAGAAGAGGTGGGGTCATGTACTAGAAGGGGTGGGACCATGGCCAGAAGTGTTGGGGCTAGGGCCTCGGAAGGTCTGGCGCTGGGAGAGGAAAGGAACAGGTCTGTTTCCCGGGAGACAAACATGCTGCTCCTACTTGGCAGCGGTGTGTTTCTCTCCCTGGCTCTTGTCTGGGGCCCAGGAAAGCAGCTGCCCACCTTCCTTGGGTCCAGAGGAGGGAAAGAACACCACTGCTGAGTTCTCTCCAGAGAGCGCATGATAGAGGCATGTCTTTGCCTTGGCCCTCCTCTCAGTTGGGTGTGCAGCGGGCCACTGCTTCCGCATACTGAAAGGGAGGCCGAAGCAGATGGGGTCCGAAAGAGCCCAAAAGGTCACGTCTGGCCCTTTGGGCTCTGATATTGCCCATGCCTGATCTAGATCATAATCCAATTAGTCTGAACTCAATAAGATCCATGCAACAATGGGACTTGTTAAGTTAAACCCTTACTTTGATTCAGTTAGTCTACTGTAGTTGGAAGTAATGACTGGATGTAGCTCATACAATCCAATGTAGAAACTGAATGCAAATTAAAACACAAATTGTTTGCTCTGATCTCTCTTTGCTCAAGCGTATAACTCTTGCTGCTGTCTTAAATACAAATTCTGTACTGAGGCAAAATATATTAGGTACTATTTTCTGATATGTTATATGTGTGCAATCATTCTGCCTGTTTGGTAAAATGAAACATAAGTAACTATGGCTGTTTTAGTTAACTCTACAATTTGTGAGAGACTTATATGGCTATGGCTTTTGAGAATATGTAGTATAGTCTCGATTCTATTTATTTTGTTCTGTTTTTTATTACAGATATTTGAATGGTGGTACTTCAGGAAATATGGCACATCCTTCATAGAACAGGTATCTGTGAGCCATTTGCGACCACTTATTGGAGGAACAGAGAATACTAATTCTCCACAAACAACATTCTCTGCTACAAATGGAGAAAATGAGACGAACAGGCAAAGTCTGTCAGGTGACTGCTTACAATGTCTGACTTTGTGGAAGTGTAGTTGGCAATAGCCTTAGCTATATCTTTAATAAATGATTATAAATCTGATACTTTGAATTGGATGGTGTTTCATCATATTTAGAATAATTTAAATAAGAGAAATGTCAAAATAAACTGATCGATCTAAGGAACTGAGGTAGTAGAGAATCTCAGTTTAATATCTCAGGTGCATCTAAATACACAGTTATAGCAGCTTGGCAATTCAACTGGCTTTGCTACTTTTTGTCAAACTAGTTGAAGAATCATAATGTTTGTAGTTTGGTGAAGTAGTTAGTGTTCTGTATTGCACTTTCTTGAACTACAGCTATAGAGTTACTTAAACAAAAATCTTAAGTGCCTCAGAAAACCACAGATCCCAGGATTTTGTGGAATAGGACCATGACAGTTAAAGTGGTATCTATGCATTGTAATTGTGTAGTGCAGGTACACTCTGTTTCTAAATACTGTAATTCCCAAACTGAATTATTTTAGATGTATCATAATAGGTATTCTACCATTAAATGTCATACTATATACACACGTGGCAGGCTTTTGTGTGTGTGTTTGAATTTGGTGCTCTGCACAATATGTGACAGAACTTTCCCCTTAAAATCAAATAAATGAATTGGGAAGATTAGAAAGAAGACACAAATTCAGTCACCAGTCCTTTTCTTAGTATTAAATTTTAGCCTGGTATTCAGATAAGAAAAATATGGGCAGCACTTGCTTCCCCTCACCCCTCCTCCTGAGATACCCAGTTTGAGTTATGGTTTTTGATTAAGCTTTAAAATCCAATGCCAAATATAATGTTCACATGACAGATTATGGTGAGTTTCTGAATCTGAAAACCATGGATATTTTGAAGTAGAGAGAAAACCTATATTCAAGCCTTGTACAGGCCAGGTACTTGCATCAGTGTGCTGACACATGTATCTGTATATTAAAAAACAGCACTTTTACTTTAATGATAGATTAAAATTTGTTTTTGTTTTTTTACAGAGTGCAAGGTATGGAGAAACCCCCTCAACCTCTTTAGAGGAGCAGAGTATAGCAGGTATCTTATTTCTATTGTAGTTGTGAAACCTTATTTCAAAAAGAAACCTAAATTCTAATGTATTACAAGTTTATAATCCTGTCCTTTTTTGAGGATTCCACATACATTCTCATCACAAGCACTTGTTTGGATAGAGAAGTATTTCCTTTCTTTACAGAGAGTGCAACTGTATTTTTTCAGATCATTGTAATGTGTGTACCGTAAATGTATAACCTTTTTTAAGATTAAAGTTTTTAAGATCAAGTCAGGAGGTGCTATGGTTTTAACTGAAATATGCATTGAATATGTTGAATGGGTTTTAACTATGAATTTTAATACTGTTTACATTTAATTCTGTTTCAAATTGTGTACTAGTGCTTTCATGTTAAGCTGCTTTGAGTCCTCTTTGGGAGCGAGGTATAAATAACAATAATAGTAATAATAATTATAAATTCCTTAAATACAAAGACAGTAATAGCTATTGTGAGCCTCAATTGAAGTGTTCCAGCTGGGTTTGAAATTTGTAAATATCTATCCCAGGTCTACTAATTGCTAAGAGAAACCTTAATTGTCACTTTTTTCTTGACTTTAAAAAGCTATTCTCGTGTTACCCGAGCAAGGTCACAAAGTCAGTTATATATCTTAGTTTCTCTTCTAAATAAACTATTTTGGTTTCAGTCTTACCTATATCTATTTGAGAGGAAGCCTTGCTAAATTCACTAGGATTTGCTTCTAAGTTGACATTCATAATCTTACACCACTCATGGAACCCCTCTTTCTCTCTTGTTCTTTTTAAAAAAGGTATACATGGGTAACTGGAAAAGAACCACTTACATATTATGACATGAACTTATCTGCTCAAGATCATCAGACATTTTTCACATGTGAAACAGACTCACTTCGGCCTTCAGATTCAGGTACCAGTGACTTTTTGTGTGTGTGTGAAAGGGGGAAAATGTTGTGTTTCCTTTTCCATTCTAAATGATGAGTGAACAATAGTTCTATTCTTTGTTATCCCTATTTGAAATAAGTTGATCTTTGCATTTTTCTTTCAGAAATAGTAAGTCTTGAAAGCTTGCTTGTGTTCTTTAAAATGCTTGTTAATCTTTAAAAAGAAGTCTTGAGATTTTACAGATCCAGACCTTACTTATTTTAGTATTTGTGTATTGTCTGCTCCTGTTTTTTAAAGTAGTGGTTTAATTTGATGCATTCCTGGCTCTTGTCAAATGGTATTTGACAGCTTCACTGGGAGTGCTGCTGCCCAAAGGGATGTCTGTAGGGGTGGGTTTGGAGAAAAAACCCTGAGAGTGGGGCTGGTGCCAGAGTCGAGAGTTCCGGAAACCCCTTGAGAGGCAGAGGAATCACTGGGAGTGCTGCTGCCCAAAGGGACATCTGAAGGGGTGGGTTTGAAAAAATCCACAGAAGTGAGGCTGGTGCTGGATTTGAGAGTTCTGGAAACTGTTTGGGAGGCAGAGGATTCCCCTCTCTGATACAGTAGAAAAACTTAAATTTAAATCACCAAGATCTAGCTATCTGTGCCCTAATCTGAAAATATGTTGCATGATATTAGAGCTCTGTGTGTTGTATGTATAGAATATACTGTCACCTAAGCCAAAACTAACATTATCTTTCCAGAAAAAATGTTCCAAACATTTTCCACGTTATTCTTGCTGGACAGTTGTAGATTTTGTTCCAAAGGAAACATATAGATTCTTTCCCTTTCTTAAGAAGATGGAGGAGGATCAAATATGCAGGCTTTATCCTTTACTCTGAATTATCTCTGAATAAGTCTCATTGAGTTTAATGGAACCACCTTTTGAGTAGACAAGTAGAGGATTTCCTTGTCAGTTCATGAATTTTTAGTCCATAGCTTTTTTTTTTTTTTTTAAGAAATAAGAGTTTTTCTTTTCTAAAATACTGAATTTTGATGGTAATGTAAACCTCTCTTACTGCATTGGCAAATGAGTTCTTCTGATGTTAGAACCTGAGTGAAAAGAAGGTCAGGCCAGGCCAGGTCAAATCAATAAGCTTTTGGAAAAGAGTTTGCATTTACCAATTTTTGTCCCACCCAAGGTCTGTCAGTGGCCTAAGTTACTCTGAAGCTCACCAGAGGTGTTGTATAGATTGGTGTTTCTTTAAAAGGGGGATTATTCTTCTTGAATGTATATTTATTGCATGAATATTGGTTGTCACTTGCCTTTTAAAGACTTTATCTGTTCTTCTCAACAGTTATGCAGAAGGCATGGCGGGAGAGAAACCCCCAGGCCCGGATCAAAGCAGCACATCAAGCTTTGGAAATAAATAATGAGTAAGTCTGGTCACTAGTTTGAGCTTAATTTGTGATCCCAAATTAAAGCCACATGGCACTGATTCCTAGATCTTCACCAAATTGTGTTACTTTTATTGTCCTTGTGCAAGTTCCATTATGCTATCGGAATTCTTGAGTTACCACATGTAGGCATCCAGTACCACTTTCAATTTCACAGTCGTTTATGGCATGCAGATAGCATGCGTTACTCTGTGTACAATGGTTAGATCCAGTGCAGTTATACTGTCAGTATTTTTTCTGTGAGCATTTTGTTGGGTTGGGGTCCTACAACATACTATATAATCAACAAGAGTTGTTGATCTTATTTTGGGTAATTACACTTGAAAAAGCAAGAAGAACTTATTTGATCAAGTTTATTTAAGTGTGTCGTTGGCTGTCTTCTATCTGAAAACTTATGTTTCTCTCTTTCTCCTTCACCTCCCTTTTCTCTTTTAGCTGTGCAATGGCATATGTTCTACTGGCAGAGGAAGAAGCAGTAACTATTGTAGATGCTGAAAAATATTTCAAGCAGGCTCTGCGTGCAGGAGAAACAATTTATAGGAAGTCTCAGCATTGTAGCACTCAAAGCCCCCAGCACGAAGCACAACTTAGTAAGTGTTCTTTTACATAGTGTTCAAAAGGCTGAATACATTTGAAGTTAGATTCATTGTAAATTTTAATGGACTTGCTAACAAACATGAATGATAGCCTATACACTTCTGTGCTTATGTACTTTCAAGTAAACTTAGTAGTATTACATGTTGTATTTATGCATAGGAGCATAGTGCTGAATGCTTTTCAGTGCAATCTTGTACATATTTATTCAGAAGTAAATGAAATTAAGTTCAATCACTCTTACACCCATCTGGGTGTGAACGGAGTCTCTGTCTTAGTCATATTCTACAATATTTGCATTGCCATTCTTTCATGAAACAAGTTGGAGTCAGAGGAGATAGCCTTCTTTTTATGGGACAGCAACCTTGGATAATGATATATATTAGTGTAGAAAGGTGTTTTCTTTCTGAAAGTTCTATCTGCCATTTTGTCAAAAAAACCCTGTTGTGCCAGTTAGTGCACAGTATGGGTGGCGGTATTTCAAATCACTTCTAAATGACTTGAAAAATACACTCTTACTTGGGGTGGATTTCCCACGCCTTTGCCCAATAGTCTAATTTCCAGTAACTGCTTAATATCTCCTTACAGCAGTTCTCCAATTTGTGATCAAAGATTTGAGGTTACAGTATCATTTCTGCCCCCTTCTCATGTTCCATGGGATGTGGTATCTGAATTCTGAGGCCACAAACAAGTTCTTAGCCTTCAACTTATTATTATGATGGAGAAGCAAATATGTGCTGAGCCAATGGATTTATGACTAAATGAGAGGGTGTTATTGGGTTTCTTGTTTCACATCCTTAGATGTGGAGCTCTTTGAAACCATAGGTTAGATGTGATTCATCCTAGGCCAGTCAAACAAAAATACTTTTACTAACAGGCACTTGTGGTCTACAAAACCAGCTATATCCTTACTGATAACTTGTCTCACATCTTAGGCCAGGGTATGAAATCTGAGACCTAACAATGGAAGATGAGTCATTACTCCCATCCTTCACATTAACTTGGCTGAGCTGGACTAATGGGAATTGTAGGCCAATAGCATCTAGGCCCCACGTGTCAAACGCAAAGGCCATGCTCCACTTTTGGACCACCTAGTCATTTTATGTGGCGTGTGAGGCTTTCAGTGCCAGGCCAACATAGTTATATTTAAACAGTTTTACAATTACAACTAGCTCTTTGAAGGCAACCATAAGGTGTGGCCCTTGGTTTGACACCCCTGATCTAGATGAGCAGAAGTTGCTCACCCTTGTATAGGATTTATTATAAATAATCTCTAGACTATAGACAGCCTCACCACAAAACAAAATATCTGGAGGCATGGTGAAACATTTTTATAATACAAGTTTCAATAAATCATATTGCCAAAGACATCTGGCACATCCTCATACATCCATTGCAGAAGGGTTGGACATTTTTATTTTTCAAGCCTTATGATAAATCAGATGATAAATCCACTTATCAATCTTTTTATCGGGCAATTTTTTACTGACAACAATTTTATGCTTGTGCTTTAGTATTTCAGTATCAGTTTACTGAAACTGGAAAGGCAAGGTAAAGAAAATGAATTAGAAGTGTGACATTTTAAGATATCACCTAATACATCTGATAAAACCTCTTTCAGGAAGAGACACCAATGTGCTGGTTTATGTAAAAAGGAGACTAGCTATGTGTGCAAGAAAACTTGGAAGAATTAAAGAAGCCGTGAAAATGATGAGAGATGTAAGTGTCTGGACAATAGATTCTCTAAGTAGTGCAATCCCCACAGTTAGCACCTAATCAGACAGATTGTAACTGAATTGATAAACAATGCATTCTTGTTAATTTTTGTTGACTAAATTGTTAGAAAAAAAATCAGGGCTTCTTTGTATATTGCATTTTAAGGCTGTCATTATACTTTATATAATCTATTTTAAGTGCATGTTGTTATATAAGAAAGGTTTATTGTACTTTAAGTCTGTGTCTTTGCTTTTAGTATAATCTTAGATCAATGGTTCTCAACCTGTGGGTCCCCAGACGTTTTGGCTTCCAACTCGCAGAAATCCTAACAGCTGGTAAACTGGCTGGGATTTCTGGGAGTTGTAGGCCAAAACACCCACAGGTTGAGAACCACTGTCTTAGATAATCAATACATGTTTTACAATGAGTAGCACATTTTATAGAATGCAGAGCTTCACCCAGACTAAAGATGCTTTGTGGCTGCATTTTTACCAAGTTCAAATAATCCTTATCTTATTAACCGGGGACACATTTTGAGCTACTCCATATTAATCTGATCATGGTTATTGCAACTGTGGTATTGTTCTTATTTTATTATTCTTTCTGTTTCCATTTTGTTCTGTGGAATCTTGGATAGAATTCTGGAAGGGTTTGATCTCATAAATGTGTTCAGCAGGTGGGGAAAAGGTTAAGTACTCTCAGTTACCACCTACTTATGTCCCTGGAACATAATTTTTTCTAAATACTGCTTTATAGACAAGACGTATTAAGAATCTCATTGAACTGTCTGAGTTGATCTGCGCAACCTCAGCTTAAAATAGCATATAATGCATCTTTACATATAGGAGTAAATGTGCAGGTTTAGGCTTCAGGGAGCAATTTATTCAACTTCATTAGTTCTCCTCCTTTGCATCTTTCCTACAGTTAATGAAAGAATTTCCTCTCCTAAGTGTATTGAATATCCATGAAAACCTTCTGGAAGCACTTCTGGAACTACAGGCTTATGCTGATGTCCAGGCAGTTCTAGCAAAGTATGATGGTAGGAATACATGAAATTGTTGAGACAATTGTTGATGTGTGTACTCTAATGAGACATTGTAATACCTAGACTTTTCTTGTGGTCCCAGGCTATCCATGACAATTGTTGAAACAACATACTGGAATGAATAGATCAAGCCTACAATTCAAGATGGATACTTTTGAAGACTCAATCTTTTTTGTGTTATGTTAGACATCTCATGTTGTGTTCAAAGTTGGCAGGTGACAAAAATTAGGTGACGATGCTTTGTTTGCTGCCATAGTTTCAGCCTTTGGCTAGAAATATTACTGCCAGTTGTTTTGTCTACGCCTATTTGAACAGAATTGAACCTTTAGTGTAGAGACAAATTGAATTATATTTCTTTAAAATAGATGTTTACACATGTATAAGTGAATTGGATAGTGAGACGAATGTTTTTTTCTGTAGTCCTAATCACCCTCTGCTTCCTCCCACAAAACAGGTAGCACTTAAACTGAAGCACTGTCTTTGGCCTGCTTTTTAAAATACCCCTTTCCTTAAGTGGTGCACTTAATCATGAAGAAGTGGTGCTTTTTGATTATGTTCATTTTGTGCTCATTTTATACTCAGCATTTTGACAAGTTTATGATAAATGTGAAGAGTGCATGAACTGAAACCTCTTATTGTTTAGTTCAAAATCTAGCTACTATATTGACCATCCTCAATCTAAAGACACCACTTTATTGTTCCATAGATATCAGCCTTCCAAAGTCAGCAGCAATATGTTATACAGCAGCACTTTTAAAGGCCAGAGCAGTTTCTGATAGGTAAGTTTCTTGTTTCAATCACTAACTAGTATGACAGTGGTTCTCAGTCTGTGGATCCCCAGATGTTTTGGCCTACAACTCCCTGAAAACCCAGCCAGTTTACCAGCTGTTAGGATTTCTGTGAGTTGAAGACCAAAAACATCTGGGGATTCACAGATTGAGAATCACTGTTGTGTGGTATCAACATGTATATGGCAAACATTAGTTATGGATTTAAAAGCCTATCCTAATAGGCTCCTTAGTAAGAGTTGACTTACTTTTGGTAAAGACTCCACCCTACTCAGCACACCAAAGTGTTTTTCCTCTGTCCTATCTTACGAACATCTCTTGGCATCCAGCTTTATTGATTGAAGCAATACATTTTTAACCCTCATGCTATTTTGTCCATTTTCTATTCTGCCAGTGTTCCTACAACCATTTTATGTATACCACTAAGTTCAGCCTAAAATAGCACAGTTCAGTGAGTGCGCTGAGTATTTGTTTTGCCTTTACCTTATATTTATGTACCTTTACCTTATTTTTAAAGATTTTATGAGACAGGAATTTCACAATTGAGCTTTGTATTTGTGGGCAACTTCTCTTCCATGTTTACATGAAATCTTATAGTTGGAAGAGACAACAAGAGCAACAGTATAAACCCTGAAATGGCAAAAATCAAATTTTTGCATTTCTGCTTCTATATATTACACTCTATTTTTATCTAAGGAATTGAAACATTTGTCACATAAAATAGTACAAAAGTCAATTTCAGTATATTTCACTTCTGCCAAAAATCTTTCTCAACCATGGCATTCACTAAGTGACTTTTAGATTCTTGATACCAATTGCATTGTTACCATTGTCTCTAATATAGAGGGACATTTCAGAACTGCTGTATATCACCACCACTGAACCCCTGTCAATTCCCATTACCCTTACCTACTCTTGACTGGTTGTCTTATCTTCATAAAGAAATGAATAAGATATCAGGTCCAGTCCATCATCAGCATTCAAAATGATAGGGGCCCTGTAATGAAAAAATAAAATAAAGATCAATCATCAAAACATTGCATGGTCTCGAAGTGGTTGAAACATCTTTAGTTTTAATACAGAATCATCTTAGCAGATGACATCACCAAGACCTGTCTCCTTCTATATATAGATACATGGAGGACATGGAGGGACATACCTTCAAATCTATTTTCCTTCTCTCCATCCTATTAAAGCTCTCCAGTGTGTTGAACATATAATCTGCTTTCTCAGTGTCAACAATTATTCATTTTGGCCCTTTTGAATCCCGATTCTACTCTTACTACTGTGTAAGATCTCCTTCACCAATTTCTTTCAACAGATCCAGATCACGCTCTTCTTCTATAGTTTTAAGGATTTTTCTGGATTTCCTTCTGAGACCATTCCTACAGCTGCCACACTCAATGTCCACTCAGCTAGCTATGCAAGCACAGCCCAATGATCAATTCCATCAATACTCATTTTGCCTGAAATGCACTACATTTTAGTATAAGGCAGTCCCCGAGTTACAAACATCCGACTTACAAACTATTCATAGTTAAGAACGGGGGTGACACCACAGGAAGTGAGAGAAATCTGCTTCTAGAAAGGGAAATTCACTCCTGGAAGAGTTATCATGGGGAAGAGGTGTTTCAGCTGAAACTTTATAACCAATCTTTGTTTCCACAAGTAGCCAATTTTTTCAAAATCCAATTATCACTGGGACAAAAAGTGAGGTGAAATCTTCTGCTAGGTTCACAGCTTGAGGGTCCTCTTGGATTCGGCACTGTACCTGGGGGCCCACGTGGTGGCCAGGAGGGCCTTTGCACAATTAAAACTTTGCCCGTTCCTTGAGACACCAGATCTGCCCATGTTGGAACATGCCTTAGTTACATCCCTTCTGGATTACGTGGGGCTGCCTCTGAAGAGTGTTAAGAAACTTCAGCTGGTCCAAAGAGCTGAACCCAGGTTGCTCATGAGCTGGTTACGGGAAGTGGACCCCCCCCCCCCTTGCAGCAGCTCCATGTTTTCAGGCACAATTAAAAGTGCTGGTTATGACCTTTAAAGCCCTTGATGGGTTCAGGTGCAAGCTAATTGGCTGATCACATCCCCTTGGACGAACCTGCCCAGGCCCTGAGATCTTCAGGAGAGGCCCTTCTCTCGGTACAACCCCTATCTCAAGCTCGCTTGGTGGGAAAGAGAGAGTTGGCCTTCTTGGTGGCTGCCCTGCAACTCTGGAACTCACTGTCCAGGGAAACCAGAATGGCCCCCTCCCTGCTGTCCTTCCGGCGACAGGCTAAAACCTTTATATTCAGGCAGGCGTTTAAAGAAGAAGATTTTAAAGATCTGCTGCTGTGGTTTTATATGCTTTTATGAATTAGATCTGAATTGTTTTAATGCTAATGATGTTTAATGCTGTTTTAATATTTGTATATTTTAAATTGTATGCTGATTTTTTAAAATGGTAAGCCACTTTGAGTTTCCTGTGGAAGATATAAAGCGGGGTATAGATAAATACAATAATAATAATAGAATAATTCGGAACAGGGAAACAGACAACAAAACAAACACCAAAGTGGTGTTAACCCTTCACTATGTTATCCAAAGCTAATATTTATTTGGTTGGAGTCACACTTAAAATGTACCTGTTCTGACTTCCATACAAATTCAACTTAAGAACAAACGTACAGAACCTGTCTTGTTCATAACTTGGGGACTGCCTGTAATTTGCTTATTACTTGGCACATTCTGACAGACTGAGCAATGATGAGTGAGGAAAAAAGGGTCAAACAGGTGGCTGTGTATTTGAATCTTCTTTCTTGGGACATTGGGCAGCTAATGAGGAGCAAGGCATTGAGGAACAGAGTGAGAAAAAAAAGACTTCGAGAGGATGAGGAGATAATAGAGATGTTTTGGAAACACAAGCTTTCCTAGAGGCTGGGGTTAGTTATACTTAAAAATACTGAAAATATTAACCTACTTTTTCTGCCTTTTTCCATTCTGTGGAAGAGGTTGCTGGTGCCACTGCCAGTTACAGAGTCAGTGTGAAAACTTCCATGTAGGCAGGCACTTCTTTCCTCAGGGTGCCTGCAGAATTTCATCCTCATCAGAATATAGTTTTGCTTTCCTTTGTATTTGAGATTCAAATATAAAGTGATGAGCACTTCATTGTTTCTGAAATAATATATTTTACTTAGCCTATGCACTGGAGGATCAATTTCCTGCGACCTTAGGATATCAGCCTAATAGAACTTTGGTTCTCAGTATTTTTCTAGTGTTTACCTTTGTGAAAGGCTTGATTATTCTTTGCCTTACTTTTAATACTGTAACTGGTTCTTGACTATTGTTACAGGTTTTCGCCAGAAACAGCCTCTAGAAGAGGGCTTAGCACAGCAGAAATCAGTGCTGTAGAGGCAATTCACAGGGCAGTTGAATTTAATCCTCATGTACCAAAGGTCAGTGTGTGTTAATGTCCCCAGTAAGACAAGCGAATTCGGCTACTTATTTGTGTTTGAGCCAGGAAATCCTTATTTTGAATGGTTCTTTACATATGACACGTTTAAGACTGAACTACACATAATGACTAAGAAAGGATCCTGTGTTGTGTTTGCCCTATAAGGCAGGTGTGGTGACACGCACTTGCAGAGAAGAAGTGTTTGTTGTGACAGGGCAAGTAGACATGCCTCACCAAAATTTTGAATACTCTGAATGAGCTCTAAAACTGAAAGTAAGCTCACCTGAGTGGAAAGAGAAAAGGAAGAACATGAGTATGCATTATTATTAAGTCCATACAAATACCAATTGCGACAATATTTTAAAATTGCATGGAAGTTTAGTTACTTGGAGCCCCTGGTGGTGCAATGAGTTAAACCGCTGAGCTGCTGAACTTGCTTACCAAAAGGTTGCAGGTTCAAATCCAGGGAGCAGCGTGAGCTCCAGCTGTTAGCCCTAGCCTCTGCCTACCTAGCAGTTTGAAAACATGCAAATGTGAGTAGACCAGCAGGAAGGTAACAGCACTTCATGCAGTCATGGTGGCCACATGACCTTGGTGGTGTCTATGGACAACGCTGGCTCTTCGGATTAGAAATGGAGATGCGCACCAACTCCCAGAGTTGGACATGACTGGACTTAATATCAGAGAAAACCTTACCTTTACCTTAGTTACTTAGTTTCCAATCCAAATAATTTAAAATAAAATATATCACTCAATGTGCGTCTTTTACAAACTGAAGGTTGTTTTTAGTTAGACCTCTATAAAGGTTCCCCTCAAATTTTAGCACACTATTAACCAGTCAGGTTATATGTTTTATCATATCTTAATTTGTTGAGAAGATCGTGGATTTTTGTAAGCCTTTCTGACAATTTGTCATCCCTACAACTCAGTTCTAGAGAGATTTTAAAAAGAGGGACATGTTTTGATTTCACTGGCCAGAGCCTATAAGATGTAAATAAAATTACACTGAAAAAAAATCACCTGCTTCACACTATCTACTTTTAATGCTGTCCTGCAATGATTCAAGCAAAATAATCCTGGGATTTCCTGTTTAAGGAAAGGTATTTTAAATTCCTAATCAGAAACCACAAGTTCTGGGATGCAGCAATAGCATCTAAAGTGAAATCAGTATCATAACAGGGCAGTGTGAAAGAGTCTTGGTTTCCTGGTATATGCTTAAATAGTATGTCAGATTTCGTAGTTTCATTATTAGTGCTAGATAGAGTAGACCTGATAAATCAATAGTTACATGATGAATTTGCATTTTCTGAACATACCACTAATTTAGTGAATCTCTCTGCTTTGGACTAAGATTCAGAACATAGCATGTACAGAGTTCTTTGCAGAGACATAGGCTGTGAGAGGACATATGGCAATTTACTTGAGTCCTTTGAAGCCACGTTATTGAAGGATGGAATGGTTTATCTAATTGTACAGTGTGCTCTGTTAATGACAGATGTCTAGGCAGCAAATATGGCATTTATTTAGGCTTGGTCTGTCTCCTTAAGTATTTTGCACATTCATGTCAGCAGAGTTAAATGAATCCAACTCAATATAGCTATACGAAAAAGAATTTAATTTTTGGATGTTATTTGGAAACAAAACTAAAAATGTATGTCTATTCAAGCTTTTCTGTGTCATACAAATCCCACTGACTCCAGATGGCACTGCTGAGTTAACATTAGCATGCTTATTATTGCAAACCACACTGCTAGTAGTTCTGAATCATTACATTTGTCCAGTTAATTTCCTTTTCATATCCTATTCCAAAATAGTTTTCATACAAGTTATTATTCTATACAGCATTGACAGACTTCCTTATAAATTACATAAAGTAGATTACAAAATAAGATACTTGAGGTAGCAAATAGCTATTAAAATTCTGTATGTAGTCATCATAATATTCATAAACTCAAAATGCTAAAAAGTGAAAATCTATCAAACCAGTGTGTTTTAAAACACAATACACATATAGCTGTCTGCTTAATTGAATAATATTATACTTAATATGAAAAATCAATATTGCTAAGGCTGACTTTTCAGTTCATTTTAACTATTTATTTTCTGTTTCAGTGATTTCATCCTCATCTAGCAACAAGTGTTTTCAGCTGTGTGTGTGTATTGTCTTAAGAATTTAGAGAATGCAGGTTTTTTTACCAGATTTTTATTTCTGAATTGATGCTGTTAGTTAATATCAGATGGCATTTATTGTAGAGCTTTATTTATTACATTTGTTACAAGACATAACTGCTCTCTTTCCAGACCCTCATAAGCCCTGATCTTGATGAAAAGTTACCTTATAAACTAATTCTATTTAAGAGTATTAACATATTAACTTCTCCTGTTGGCTGTTTTTGAGTTTCTTAACTAATGACAAAGGTGGTTTATCAAAGTGGTGTTAGGAACCTCCTTCTTACAAAATCACTAATGATTCTCTAGCCAGAGGCTGTTCCCATTGCTTTTATTTCCAACTGAATATAAAGCAAGTTGATGCTATTTCATGAGTTTGGATAAGAAAACATATTGTGAGGTGCAATGAAGGGACATGGGATAAATAATACTCCTAGTAATGTGCTTGCTTCCTTAGGGAGACTCACTTACTAGTTTGAGAACCATGAGAACAGAGTAACTGGCTAGGAAAAATGATTCTATCAGCATTATTTTGGATAGCTTCATCAGTAAGCAGACAGAAGTATACAATTTTGGATATTAAAGTACTGTACGTTAAAAACAAAAGCTCCACCTCTCTAGGGAAGAACTTTTTCTGTTTGTTTTTATTAGCTTTTTACAGAATACAGTTGTTAATGGAGCAGTTTCTTGATCTCCTAGGAAGTGGAAGCTTTTTCTAAATGTCTGGTATATATAATTTTATCCAGTTGAAAACTAGATGTATCTGATAAAACAGACAATAAAAAACAGATGGATTTTCTGAAATGTACTTGAGCCAATATGTTAGTTCCATACTTTTGTTTGCATCTATAATTTCAAAATGAACTAATGTGCATACACAATTTCGTTGTAGATGAACTTGGGTGGTAGGTAGTTGTGAGTAGGTGGGCCAGCGTGGCCAGCTGTAACAATGACCTCCTCCTGATTTCATAAAGCCAACTAAGGAGAAGTAATCTTCAGAAATAGTCGCTTTCACTTCCTTCATATAATCCAGATGCAAGTACCAGCAGTGCATCACTAGGATTGGTGTCATCCAATGTAGTAAATCATGGAGTCCACCCCATGGACTTCCTCCAATACTAGATCACACAGAATCCTTTTTAGTGTTTTTTAAAACTAATATTACTCATAAATAATCCCACTGAATCCCACTGAATATAATGATAAATCTGCAACTATAAATAATAAAGCAGCAACAAAAACAGTGTTTTTTTAAAAATGTACCACATTTAAACAAAACTAAGCAATACAAAGTGTCATTGTAATTGGATAATAGTGACAGCTCTGATCAAGATGAATTAAAATTAAAAGTTTTAGCTTTGTAGATATGTTGATACAGTACATGTAAGTTGGCTTTATGAAAAAATGCTTCTGTGGTTATAGTAAAAAAATGATAAATTTATATTGAAACACTGCACAGAAAATGTATAGACAGTCATTTTGGTGTCAACTGGTGTAGTCCACACCTCTCTCACCCGCTAGTAGCTCACTGAGTAGCATAGTCATGTAGTTGTGCCACTCACAAGGAATATTGTGCCCAGGACTAAGCACACAAATCAAGCAAGGTACTAACAAGCTGTATCGTATCTGAAGTAAGGTAACCAATATGATCAAAAGTCTGGAAACCAAGCCTTATAAGGAATGTCTGAGGGAGCTGGGTATGTTTGGCTTGGGGAAAAATAGGGAGAGGTGGCACAATATTCATATTTAAATATATAATGCCATGTAGAAAATGGAGCAAGCTTGTTTTCTGCTGAACCAAAACATGAATCAATGGACTCGGATTACAGGAAAGAAATTCCACCTAAACATTAGGAAGAACTTACTGATAATAAGATTTGTTCAGCCATGGAATAGACTGCATCAGATGGTGATGGACTCAGAATTTAGGGATCCCACTTTTTCTGGAGGTATTAAAACAGAGGTTTGATGGGCATCATGCCTTAGTTATCCATTTTTCATGATAGGAGTTTAGACGTAATTGCCTTTGTGGTCCCTTCCAACTATATGATTCTGTTTTGAACTTTTTTATTTAAATATTCATTGTGACTGTTTTCAAGGCAGGTATCATCCATCCTATGTCCGTACATTTAATTTTTATCGCCTTTCCTGAAACACTAAGGTTTTAAAGATGATATCATTGTTTACTTTTTCTCCCCCTCCCCCACTGTACTTCCAAAATAACCTTTGAAACATTTATTTCCATATCCTTTCATTAGTCATAATAACTAAGAAATTCTTCCTGCTACTCTTGGTAAAGTTTACATTAGAGCAAGCCAGGATGAGAAACTTCCTCCCCCAACCTGCTTCTTAGCAAATGAATGCATATAATTGGAACATCAACCCATCCAGCTCTGCACATTCTTGACACTGATGATACATGGCCCTGGCAGTCTTGATAGTAGAAGGATGGCTTATCCAGACACCTAATCCTCTTCTGATAATCAGAGCATCCAAATGGCTCTTGCCTTGAAGGTTTGAATTTATCCATGCAGTCTTCTGTCTGCCTGTCCAGTCTGATAGAATGTGCACCGGGAGAGCTAATTGCTGAGAGAATTTGCCCCTTGCCTGCATGACTGATCAAGAGCACAGCAAGTTCATTTCAGATGGTCTCAGACAGATTTTTCTTCAGCCTTTTGCCTTAAGGGGAGAAGATTATAATGTACTATCATTATCTAAGAGGTGGATGTCTCTTCAGCTGCCTCAGAATCTTGAAGAGGTCTTTTTGGGCTGTCTTTTTCAGTGACACTGACTAGTCTACATGTTATCAAGAAAATCAGTGCCTCATGTTTTCAATAATTTTATTGTAATTACGTCTTGAAGAAAGTATTGTTCGTGTTACTATAACTTCCAGATGACAAAAGATGGTGGGAGAGGGAAGACAGTGGAGTGTTACAGAGTTTTAACCTTGAGATTAGAGGCCAGTCTTATTGTAAGTTAAATTCTCAGTTTTAAAGTGATCGTAGATAATGCCCTTTAATGTGTACACATAAATACATTGATCTATACAACATGAAATTATATCTTTCCAGGTAATGTGTGATGAACCTAAAGATTAAGTATTCAGTTGAAACAGACATTATTTATGACCTTATTTATTTATTTATTTAAAATGGAAAACCTTTCAAATTAGATTTTTTTAAAATTACAAGCAAAAGATGTAATCTGACACTGTACATATATACAAAAAGGCCCATAGAATGAAGTCAGTATTAACTCCAGTTGTTTTTGTGTAAGATTGCTGCAGAACACACAGGTGAATTGTTAAGGCCTTGCCTCAAACTTAATTGATCAGTGGCAAAAAGACGGTAAAGGGCAGCTGACCTTGGATTCAAAAATTAACATCAAATATTGTGCCTAGTTGGGAATGAAATCCGTAAAGTAGAACTTCTCAACATCTTTCATTTATCTCACATTTCAATACAAGTAGTGAAGATAGGAACAAATGTTAAAGTAGATCCTGAGATGTGATAAAATCACTGGAGCTGGGTGGTGGAGAGAGATACAGCTTTAGTTTTGACATTTTCATTTCATAAGTAAAATATTCAATTTTAATAGCCAAGTTATAGCTAAGTAAATGGTTTAAAATTAATTTAAAAATAATTATATAGCTACCATTGATTTTTGTCTGCATGTAATAATGCTCAGAAGTAAACTTGAACCCCTGAGTTGAAGTGATTCTACAAGATGAGATATTAATTAACTTCAGGTTTTACCATTGTTGCATCTTTCTCCTCTCAAATTTATGAAACCTAGCTCAACACCAAAGTAGTAATTTCACAGACCATGTGGAATCATGTCAGAGGTCAGATATTTGAGACCATTTTCCCACAATGGCCTTGTGTGAGTGATCCCATACTGTGTTAAAAAAATTGTCAAAGAGGATTAAATGGGATTAGTAAGAATATTGCCCTCCCAGAAGTAGCCCCAAGACACCAGGAGAAGAACCTAGCCAGGCATTAAACATACTTTATTTGACCAGGGCACAACCTTGGCTACATTCCTTCAAGAATCTGAATAGGAAAAGTTAAGTCTCCTAAACTGGATTAGTAAATAATCTCATGGTTTGTGGCATCTGCTGAAATAAATCGGCAAGTTGGCTGCATTCTTACAATTTTGGGGAGAGCTGGTAGAATTATTGGCCACAATGATCAAGGATAGGATTATTGCTGGCCGTTATTGAGTGAAACAGGTCGATTCATAGGAAAATTCTAGAAAGTCAGTTAATGTTAACGCCTAAATATTTTCCTGAAGGAAAGCTTTAAGGTGGGATTTTAACACCTTTTAAAATACCATTTTACAGTGAAGGATTTTTAAATGCATGTGTTTTCATGCATATATACATGTATCACCTTAAAAAAAGAAATTTGCCAGTAAAACTTATTTTTTGGAACATCCAATCACTGTGAAGTGGAAACTCCCTTACCCATCCATAAAGTATGGATCTTCAGCAACTCCTGCTAAGAAGCACATTGTCTTTCTTGCTTTCCTGACTGCCGCATCTTTTCCCATCTCTAGGTAATCATTCTCTTATTATAACTCCAGCTCACTGGCTGCTTCTTTCTTCTGTTCTCATCCTGTTCTGCTCTGCACACAAATGTGGGAGTTAATTGCTTTGCAAGGATATAATTTTCTTCTCTTTGTATATATTCTGCTGGGTAAACTTTATGACTATTCTAGTTGCATTTGAACTGGGAGGTTTAAAAGTCAATAAAATATTTTTGCAGATGAGATAACTGCACCCACAAAGTGTGCCTTTCTCACTAGAGAAAGAATTGGCATCAGTTAAAAGGGTTGAATGGAGCAACTTGCTGTATTCACAGTGCTTATATTGCCTTTGCTAAAGTGGAAAGTATCTGGACCCCTTGCTATCATTGCAGCATTCACTGATTTCTCCTAGGCTTGTATTCTCTAGTGCTCTGTCTTTTGTTTGTAAAATTATCCCTAGGGATTATTTTATTAGAACCCAGCATAGAAGTTATATCACTTAAATGTTAGACATATTAGTAATGTTCAGAAAGTAGCAGTCTTCTTGTGTCTTTTGGATCAGCCTAGATTAGTACTTACAGATTGAGCATTTCTTATCTGGAAATCCAAAAGACTCAAAATCCCAAACTTTTTGCTGTCAGACACTTGCTTCCACCTTCAAGGTGACAGTGGCAGCTCTCCTGATCATTTGTTCACAAGGTGGAAGCAGGCATCTGACAAGTTTCCCAAAGAGAGGGGAGAGACTGGAGACAGATGTGAAAATTGTGACCAAGTGAAAGGTGGGGATCCCCCCCCCCCGCACTATGCTCACAGATCCTCAATTCCACTTCAGCCTTATTCATTTGTTAATTGTGTTGTGCATGAGATATCACTTTATGTCTGTCAGTGCAAATACAGTTATAGTAATAATAATTATTTATTTGTAACCCTCCCTATCTCCACAAGGGGACTCAGGGCGATTTCCACACAAAACAGTGGCAAATATTCAGTGCCATTAAAGAAAACACACAAACGAAATCAAACAAATAATATGACAACATCAACAACATAATAAATCAATAACTTATAATAACTAACCAAAGTAAATAAATTAAAACAATATAAAAACAACAAACCATAATTAATAAAAGCATAATAAAATCTCAACTAGTACATTTCCAAAATCCCAAACACTTCTGGTCCCAAGCATTTTGTATAAGGATACTCAGCTTGTACTTCTTCCTGTAAGTGCTTTGCATACAAAAGTCTAAAATAAGCATTTGTTCACTAAAAATTGATACCAATTTGATTTAGCCTCTGTAGTGGCCTCAAGTGTGCATTTGCCTCATTTTACACTTCTTCCCAACCAAAGGTTTGTTTTTTGGCAGGTAAGTATAAAGTTAAACTTGATATATCAAGGAAATCTTATATATAAAGAATCAGTCACATTGCCTTTGTAGTTACATATTTTTTCACACATTTTCTTCCAGTATTTGTTAGAAATGAAAAGCTTGATCTTACCCCCAGAACACATTCTGAAACGAGGAGACAGTGAAGCAGTGGCATATGCTTTCTTCCATCTGCAACACTGGAAGCGAATAGAGGGTGCTCTTAATTTGTTACATTGCACATGGGAAGGAAGTAGGTATCTTTTTATTAGCTACATAAGCCTATTTCTCTCTCTCTTTTTTGTTTTTGTTTTGAAATAAATGCCTGAAAATCAAGGTTACTGTATTCAGATAGGTAATCTCTCAACCTGCCTTCCAGCTATGTTGAGGTTCCTTCTGCACTTCCAATAAAGATACAGTGTTGAAACCAAGGTTGTGATGCATACATTCTTACTCATATTTCATATACATAGCAGGTGCAGGTAAGGGGGAGCTGTTTCACTTCTTGCTGTCCCATGATATTGTTTCCTGTGCTTCTTCTTTACGTCTCATTTTTCCAAAGGAAAATTCCTAAATTAAAAATTAGAGCTTATTCAAAAATGGTGTTCTTTCCAATGTTGAATGCTACCTGGAACATTTCATTTCTTTTATTTCCTATCATATAAAGTAGAGGCTGCAAGCAGTACTAAACAAGTGGAGCTTGTGCTGTAGGTCTTGTTATATCCTGCAGCATTCAGACATCCATGTGTCACAGCTTTCACAGCCTGAACTTGCGTGGGAAAGACAAGCTGAAGGTCGTAAATTTTGCTCATATTGTACAGTGATCTATTTTATTAGTAGAGTTGGAGATAACCAAACTTAATATTTGCCCAGCACTGGGCCCTGGAATGGTGCTGATCACAGTCCCACATTGTATAAGAAAGGTTTTTAATGCATTTTAAATTGCGTTTTTTGAACAATCTAACTTTAAAAGCAGTACTAGCTTTTTACCAATTTAGAGATTTTCTGTATTTATTTACAGAAGGATTTCAAAACTTAATCATTTTGTTTATGTACCCTCTTTTCTCCCAGAGTAGGTCCAAAAGCAGCTCACACAAGAAATAAGTGAAAAACCCCAAAATACCATTTTAAAAACAATTTAAATCATTACATTTAAAACAGTTTTAAATTATTTAGAAAACTTACAAACATTAAAAAAGAAAGCAGTCCATTTAGAAAAGGAAAACACCGTTCTGTCATCCCACATTTCTATGTTTTAAACTTCTATTGTTTACACAAGATGACACCATTCAGGTCCTAAAACTTGACTGAACCCATGAGTCATATTTTCCTTTCCCTGTTCAATCAGGTCATCAGTCCAGACTGCAGCATTTTTCATCTTGGGATTATTGTGTTCCTTCTAGTACTGTGGTTCTCAACCTGTGGGTCCCCAAGGGTTTTGGCCTACAACTCCCAGAAATCCCAGCCAGTTTGCCAGCTGTTAGGATTTCTGAGAGTTGAAGGCCAAACATTTGGGGACCCATAGTTTGAGAACCACTGTTCTAGTAGATCCATCTCATTTGGCTCACTTTCTGCTTTCCTTCAGCTGACAAATAAAATATTTTTATTTCAATGAACATTTGATGACTAGCTGACTACATAGAAGGATTGGTAGTGTGCTTTATTGTTACTGTTTTAAAATGTTTTTACACTGTTCACAAGCACAGATGTTTTAATATGGGATTTTAATAGTAATTTTAACTTTTTATCCCTCGGTTTTGGTGTGTACATTGTTTTGATGTTGTTTGCCAGCTTGTTTCCCAAGGCAGGATATAAATAAAATCATTTATTTGATTATTTCATTTCCTTGCTAAGGAAAAAGCTGAATCAATTGTTGGAGGTCAGTTTCAGTAAATCTGAGGGTGGGACTGACAGTGCTTGTTTAAAATGAAATGGCTTGTAATCTCCTTCCAAAAAACCAAACCTGTGGTTAGATATTTTTCCTAACCATTTTCTGATCTCAGTTGTGTTTGTGATGGCTCCTGTGTCACTTCCTATGCCTTCTGGCGTGCTTGTTTGAGGTTTGAACATTTTTATAGTCCTCTTATGCGGTTGTTGATAAGTGGATAACAGAAATTGTTCTTTTAACCTCTTTTATCTTATTGCATGGAGTAGTATATTGCCAGACTTGTTCAGTTCCCAACACAGACGTAGCAGTAGCTTTTATATGAACTCACAGGTTTCTTCATTAGACAAATGAAAAACAACAAAAGTGATTGTATTCCTCCCTTTACCATGGACTTGAGTCCACTGGAAACACAAAAGGCAACAAAGAAATAAAAACTACTTTTACATTTGAAAAAATCAAAATTGTTATCATTATGTATTGGGGTGTGCATTGTTTTAATGTTGAATGCCAGCTTGCATCCCAAGGCAGGATATAAATAAAATCAAAGAATGATAAACATTTTCAAGATTCAAATTGTCTCTATCTGGTGCAAAGCTCTAAGACCCCTTCACAGATAGAGAACAATGACTTCCTCAAGTAGCACCTCGATATTGCTGGAGCTGGAGATTAACTTGGGCACAGGATCAGATCAAGTTTGTAAGTGGAAGCCACAGCTTTGCCTTTGGTTGGAGGATATGATCTCATAATACAAATTCTCAGATTTAAACTCCCTTCTTTTCATTGTTAGGTTCCACTCCTGTATGGCAAAAAATGATATTTTTAAAATTATAGTCATGTTGACTGTAAGACAAATGCAAATATCCAGCTTTGTGGATTTAATTTTGTTAGGTTGACAACAGGGATGCCCAATAATGAAATCAATTTCACATGGCTTTGGTGTCTAAAACTCTTATTTCTTCCTCTTCTCAGCATTTAGAATGATTCCTTATCCATTAGAAAAAGGCCATCTATTTTATCCCTACCCCAGCTGTACAGAGACAGCAGACAGAGAATTATTACCAAGTAAGTGACTTTCCAGTTTCCTATGCTTTCTTTCTTCACCTATAGGTAATCAAAGTTTTTTTTCCTGGTTTCAGTTCCATCAGTTGAATCTTCTGACCATCAGGTGGTATCTTTTTCAATATTTAAAAGAACCCATTCCCTATATTAAGAAGTATGGAAATGAAATGTAGTTTGACTTATGAGAAGATTGCAGTATATGACATATGATGGATGCAGTGGTAACAGTTGCATGGTGTGATCTCCCCATGTCATTTTTTCTTATTTATTTCATAGAAACATATTTAACAAAAGAGATGTATAAGATCTGAAGCTCAGCATCTGTTTGTGATGTTGAATTTAAAACTAGGTCACTGTAAAATTCTTAATAAAAATGAGGTTGGCTATTGGGCTTCTGAAAGTTGACTGGAAAACACTATTATTGTAATCAGTAACAGCAAATAAAATCTAACATCATGTCTTATGAAAGCCATGTGATGGTTTTTTGGACTATATGCTCTAGTTGCATCCTGTTAACAACTTTGAGCCTGCTAAACATTGTCAGTTATACTATTTTTTTTTTAATTTAACAGTTGTGTTACTTCCTCTTTCATGTTTCTAGTGTGTCAATACAAATTACATATTCTCAAATTGGTTTTGAGAATATCTTTTTTAAAAAAACACATCAGTGGCCAAATTTATCCATTATTCCACTAATATTGCATCTTTGGGTTTCATTGAGTATTGTTTGTTTGCATCTTTGATGGGATCAGAAAAGAATACTTCTTTAATGTGCTATAATAAAAAATTAGAGTTTTGATAGCAGTCCTATGAGTGATCCTTAGTCAAGCAACCTGAAAATATCTTTCGGGCTTCACAGTTGCTGAATGGGAGAGTTTTGGAGACCCTGTACATTATGATGTGGTTTTGTTTTATGCCAGGTGCTGGTGAGATTTCCTTAAATGTTAACTTCTGCATCTTGAGAGTGCTTCACTTGTTAAAGTACATGGAGTGCTCATAACCGAAGCAGCCAAGGGGCACATCTGCCACACAAGGACTTGCATATATATAATTTGATAAAAAAAATTAAATATTGAAAAGCTGTGTTTAAAAAGCAATTAAAATCTGCCCCCAGACTGCTCTAAATTACTCATTTCTCACTCAGGCAGGATATTGCTCTAGGAATGCCTCAGCTAGTGACTAACCCTAAGCTGTGTGATTCCCAGTGTAATTAAAAAATGCATGCAGACATTTCAACACAAATCATTCATGCATTCGTGTTAATTTTATTTATGAATAGTTTTGTGTTTAAAGCTTACCTTAACACTTTTTAATGCTACAACCCTTGAACAATTTTGAGATTTTAAAAATTCTGTCACTTTAATCCATTCTTAAAATGAACCTCCATTGAGGCTCGAAATGTTGACTATCTTGCAAGGATGATTTTCCAAAACATTTTTTGTCTCTTCAGAATCTTTTTTAAAAAAGTCATATTTTAAGCTGTGTTGTAGGTTTGTAAGGATTCTTTGCATTCAAGTATTTCACATTCTTTCTTGTTTTCAGAACATGGATTCAAAAAATGTAATTTGGCTATAGTTGCAAATTCTTTATAGATCAGCTCTTGGCATTTTACATGTGCCAAAGTAGCACAGGCTCTATTATATGAGGGTTATCCGAAAGTAAGGTTACAAGGCACGTAGCTCTCACGGGGAATTTTCGCAGGAGAGGTTGGTATCACTGCCATGTAACGGGAAGCCAGTGGAAGTGAACAACCAGTGCCGGTCGTCAGTAGCTCATCGACTAGCATTCTGGTGAAGATAAGAGATGAGCATCCTCATTCCATTTCCCTCCAAGTGCAAAGTTCGCGCTATAATATAACCTAAATGCTAAAAGCGTGAATACCGCTGTGATTCATAAAAAAATCGTTTCAGTTTATGGAGAGGACGTAATGTCAAGACAACATGTGACAAAATGGATATGGCATATATATTGTGAGATCATGGAGAAGCTTCGCAGAGCCATCCAAAACAAACATCATGGGATGTTGATGACTGGAGTCTGTCTTCTTCATGACAATGTGCATCCACATACTGTTCATGCAACACAAGAGTTGTTGAATTCATTTGGTTGGGATGTTTTAAGCTACCCCTCTCACAGCCACAGTCTCACACCCAGTGACTATATCAGTTCACTAAATTGAAGGAATAGCTCCTTTATTGATGGGATGTATATGGCATGTTGATATTTCACATCTATCCTGGTCCCAGGTTGTTTAGCCTTTTATAAGGAAGGATCTGCTATTGTATCTAGAAACAAATCAGAAGCCAGTGCAAAAGATATAAGTGGTGGATTGTTGTTTGTAAACAATAGCTTGATTTTTAAATGCAGCAGGAAGCATCTTACCTTAACTCCTCATTCCATGCTCTCAAGGACTGTACTATTATGTGCAGTAGTCCCAATGTGAAGAGACTAGAATATATGTAATTGAACAATTGTACAATTATAAGTGTTTCATGACCAGAGACTAGCACAACAAAGAATGTTTATTATAATCAATATGGAATTTAGGTTGCTCCCAAAGATGGGAATTTCAGAGGACATATTGATTGTGCATTGAAATGTTAGCATGAGTTATCAGCTCAGTTTTTCCATTATTGGTATAAGGTTGTAGCAGACATGCTGCAACAACAAAGAATGTAGAGTGTTTTTGTTAAATGAGATATACCTGCAATTTGAAACATATGAATCAGTCTGCTATGTATTTGTTGTTGTTTTTTGCTTTCTAGTCATTTCCCCCCTAAGGTGAACCAATCATATACATTCTGTTTTCATTTGGAAAAGCAGTGGACTGCTGCTAGTCTGACTTTTGTAGGAATTGTCTAGAGAAGTATGTACTTGCCTTATCAACTATCCTAATCTGAGAGCTTTCTCCTATTTGATTAGTGATATGTCAATAACTATAATAATTATTTATCTTTCAGCATTTCACGATGTGTCTGTGTATCCCCAGAAGGAGCTTCCTTTTTTCATCCACTTTACAGCAGGGCTGTGCTCTTTTACAGCAATGTTAGCCCTCCTCACACATCAATTTCCTGAACTCATGGTCATTTTTACTAAAGCTGTAAGTATTACTGCTTAAGCAGGGCCTGCTTAAGATTGTAGTGCAACATGTAGAAACGAAGAGCCTTTTGTGTGGCCTTCTAGAATCTAATTCAAAAACTATAGATATCTAAAACCCCATTTCAGTATAATTCACAGTTCCTTACTTTCCCCTATTATTGACATGTCCTAAAGATGTCAAATTTTCTTTGGCAGCTGGCCTGCCTCTGATTGAGATGAAGCATTTGAGATGGCAACGTGTCTGATCTTAGATTGAAGAAAGTTTTGCTTATACAACCGTAAACCATACGCATTGTTTCTGTAATTTTTTAAAAAATGATTAAGGATTTGTACTTAATATCATGAAAATATTTAGGTCACAGCTCTCAGAAGCAGGGATGAATATTCTCTTACTGTCTTATTACAGGCGAACAGCCTACATTTACAGACCATAATGTTGTAACCTATCTTTAATGTGACTTGGGTGCTGACCAAAGAAAGTTTTGTGCATAGACTGGATGGAAACTTGGAAACAGCTGCTTCCAACATAATTTAGTATGTAGCACTAGGGCCTAGATTAGTGCTGCTCAGTGGTGATTCATGAAACCTGTGTTGGTCACTGAAGACTGTCCAGGGAGAAGAAACAATTGTAGGCAATGGACACAAATATGGTAGCAGTCATTGACATATTGGAGGGGAAAAAAACTGCCAATCCTTAACACTGTATAACTTAAGAGGCCCTGATTTAGATGCTGCCCATTGTGAAGTGTTACTTACCTACCTACCTTTTTTCAGCTTTCCCCCACATTCATTCTTTTTTTCAGTTTCATTTTCTAGAGCAGAATACAGTATATTGTACTATGCTAGTTGGCACAGTAAAACATTGAACTATGAAAAACCTGCAGACTTTTGCTATGCTTTATTTGTACTTTTGGTATCTAATTTGTTGATTTTTTAGAAACCAGAAAGTGAATCTAGATCAGGTGTCCTCAAACTTTTTAAACAGAGTGCCAGGTTGCAGTCCCTCAAACTATTGGAGGGTCGGATTATAATGTGAAAAAACATGAATTCCTATGCGCACTGCACATATGTTATTTGTAGTGCAAAAAACAATACAATAATTAAAATGAAGAACAGTTTTAACAAATATAAACTTAATAGTATTTCAATGGGAAGTGTGGGCTTGCTTTTGGCTGATGGGATAGGATTGTTGCTGTTGTTGTGCTTTCAAGTAGACCCTGAGCAAGGGCCGGGTAAATGACCTTGGAGGGCCGTATCTGGCCTCCGGGCCTTAGTTTGAGGACCCCTGATCTAGATAACTACGGTTTTAATTCCACATCTGACAATTCTGAAAATTCATTTGGAGGGAAGATTGAGTTGGTCTTCCATCTGGTGTGCTCCAATTCAGTAGGCTATTATGAATTAAGGTGGGCTTCTTTAAATTTGTTGACAGAAGTAAGATTGCATTAATAGGTGTTTCTGAGTTTTCTTGTCTCTTTCCCTCTCTCTGTGCCTTTCTTCTTCCTTTGCCCCTTGGTTGTGTTTTTTCTCCCAAAACATCCTTCCAACGTAATCTGAGACAACATATTGTATTATCACTGTGAATCCAAAAATACAAGACACATACTGACTAGAAAGGGGGAAATCCACCCTTTCAAAACTTGGAGTTTATAAATAACAAATCATGTATAAATACACATTCACATGCAGCAATAAAGAAAGACAGATCAACTTTAAAATGGTAGAAGCACAAAGTTGTGGCAAGGAAGCACAGAGTGAAGAGGCAGAAGCATCATTTTCTTCATACTGTACTCATTCCAACCTGCCTCCCTCTCTTGCTCTCCCCTCCCTCTCTCTTCATGAAGCCAAACATACCAGGAATAAAAACCATACAAATTCAAATAACCTGAAGTTCCTCAAAGCGAACAAGAGCACGGAGCACAGAGGCTACTCCCCTGAAGTCCTAAAGTCCTGTACTCTTGCGCTAGGGCTCCTTCTCATACTAATTCTTTACTCAAAATGCTGCTAGTTTGTTAAAGCAAAACCTGGGCTGAGGAACAGCTCAATTGAAAACGCTCTTAAATTGGGATGCTCTTCCACAGTATATGTCTGTATGTATGTACCCCCATTGCAGATAGGATAGGGAAGGGTTAACACTCTTGTGACATTTGTTTTGCTGTCTGTGCCCCTGTTCAGAAGATTTCACCTCACTTTCTGCTCCTGTGATAATTGGATTTTGAAAAAAAAATGGCTTATTGCGGAAACAATTGGTGATAAAGCTTCAGTGGAGGAACCTTTTCTCATGATAACTCTTTCAGGAGTGAATTTCCCTTCCTAAGGGTAGATTTCTGTCACTTCCTGTCTGCACACACACACACACACACACACACCATTCTTAACTATAAATCAGATGTAAGTAGAATGTTTGCAACTTGGAGACTGCCTGTACTCCATTTCCCGTCCAGTTCGGTGCTGATGGCAATTTAATAAAAGTTAAAATCTGTACAGCTAAAAAATCACATCATACAAAGTTAAAAATAAAATGAAATTATAAACAGGTATTACTTGAACACAAACATGTCACTTTGGCTATTTCTGGTGCTTCAGCTTGTATATCTTGTCACAATTACCCTTGTGCAATCGGATAGTGTACAGGAGACTGGGGGAGTTTACAAAATAAAAGAACCAGATTGACAGCCCCAGAATCAGCTGCATGGGAATGTAGACAGACTGTTTTGAGAAAAGGAGGATGAAATGCCTTTTGGTAGAAGGAAATGGAATAAAGTATCCTTGAGAGAGGTGGTTGTTGGCTCGAACAGAGAACAGGCCAACATTTGTGTCTTGTTTAACAGTCATATTTCTGTGTTGTCTTAAACAGGCTGACACCATGATACAATTTAATCTCTGTTTGACACTGCAATAGTTTTCCATATATTTCACCCATAGTCTTAAAATTCTTTTACAATAATGGTAGGGGTTCACTGTTTCAAATACAACTCTTCTTTTCCACTTCCTCAAGAATACATGGTGTTCTCCTAGTAGTCCAGCTAATGTGCTGTTTAATTATTTTGTTTACTTTTTATTGTGCTGACTTCTGAGGGCATGGACAACAGTTCAACAGTGGAAATATTTGTTCTCTTCTCCATTCTCAAATGAAATTACATTTAGGTTATTAAATAGCTGTCAAAACAGGCATATTTTTCAGAATGATATTCAGGTTGTAAATGTGATGGAAGCTTTCTAGTTAGAAGCTACCCACTGCACACCTCTTTTTGCCCAAGCTGGGCAAGCATGGCATGTTCTCTTTGAAATGAATAGAGTGGCATGAAAGAGAGGTTGGTCTCTGGAGCATGTTAAGGGCTTTGTAGATTTAAACAAGCACTTTGACCTACACCCCAAAGTCATTGTTAATTGTCAGTGGCATGGTCAGCCTGCCTTTTAGTAGACTGAAATTACTACAGTTCTCAATGCATCTAGAAATAAAGGCCTATTAGTTCCTAGCCCCAGTCTGGCATTTTTAATCTCTAAAGCAAACGAAGTATTCACTGAGCTTATAAAATTACTTTTTTGCCTATCATTTACAGACTATGCCTTGTAATCCCTTTAAATCAGATTTATTCAGTTTAGATAACATATTGTTTAGCTTGGATTTTAGATAGATTGTATTCATATTTCAAGAAAGAGAGCTTAGCTATTTTGTTTTTACAGTTAGGGTAAAATAAACCAGACCTAGTTAACTAAATGTGATGGTTTTTATTTACTTACTAGCTTGGGGACCTGGCGCTGGCCGGGTCACAGTGGCCTGTGGAAGTGGGAGCCAATCAGAAAGCTGCCACATACATACGTACATACAAACAAACACTGACTTTTATTATATATATATATATAGAATATGGATGATACTTCTACTACACCGTTTTTCTAAAGAGTGCAATGTGATATACATGGATTTTCCATACTCTGGTACCCTTTTGCAAATTTATGGGGCTCTTTACGATGAGTTCAAAGGTATTTTTTTTCAAGTGTGAATGTTGATAGGTAATAATGTTGGTTGAAATATTGTACAACTTCTCTACTTCCTGCTTTTAATATTTGGTTCAGGTTTGAACTTCATACGGTTGTTAAGCAACAGACCTTAGGTTTTATGTGTATTGCAAAGACAAGATATTAGATGTTCTCGGTGGTCCAATCTAGATTGTTAACGCTGTACTTACTTTTAAAACTTTATGTTCATATCTTTTATTTAACAGAATAACATTTGCTTATGTATTTTCACTGGATAATATTTCACTTGTTTCCTCTATAATCAAATTGCCAGACAAGATTCTTGCCAAACTGCAAGAACTTGTTGAGATGCCAAAAACCACAGCAAATCTTTTAATAGCTGTAGTGTACACACAATGGACTATGCCAACAGCAAAAGCGCAGAATTGGCATATGGCCGCTAAATTGAAGTGAATGGAAGTTTTCCATTTAGTCCTTTGGGGCACCAGGATCTCTGTTAGGTTTTGTTACAGCTGAAAATGTTTATAGATTATAAGTCCCATTTTCCAGAAGTGTTTAATGTTACAGTGGGAATTAGGATTACTTTTATCTGGATTTGTTTGCATAGTTGTTCAACCTGAGGAGAAATAAACTGGTGAGATAGCAATGTTATATTCCCCTGTCCAAAAGGGAATAAATTAGAAAAAGAAGTGTAGATGTAGCCTTAATCATGTCAGTCATATGAGTTCTCATTTTCCTCTCCTCTTTCCTCCATGTTTTGTCACATTACAAGTTATATTACAGTCAATTCAAGCATGATATAAGGAAAATGCTCCATCTGAAGTCTTCGCCCTTTCTGTTTTCATATGGTAGAGTCCTTCAGATGATGCCTTTTTACATCTCATCTAGCAGGACTCGTTGCATTATGAATAATGTGAAAGGAACAGTTTAGCTGATAATTTTCTACACTGTGCCATATCTGATCTGCAGCCTCACTTCTCGTAATTTTAAGAAAATTCAGTACAGGAGAGAAAATGGGGAGAGCAAAAAAGAGTTTGCACTGTAATTGGAAATGTGCAAGTAATTAAAGCTAGAATCCAGATGTTTTTGGGTTTTTTAAAAAAAAAAATAGTGTAGATTCTCTGAGCAAACCCTGTAGACATTATGTTTCTCTAACAAACCATTACTTTAAGGCAGGATTTCTCAGCTAAGGCTTTGTGGTGCTCTAAGGTTCTGCAAGAGCTTGCCAGGAGTTCCATGAGAGCTCATGATTATAAAGCAACAAGCTTGAAAAATATAGTTCAGTTAAAATAATTTTATATAATGTAAATATAATATTTCTTATACAGGGGTTTCCTGAGACCTGTACATTATTTCAAGGATGTTGGCCCATTATGAAATGATTGAGAAAACCTGCTTGAAGGTGTGGTTGTTTCATTGTTGTCTGTCTATGTGGTGATTAGCAGCATCTTTTACTGTAGCCATCTATAATGAAGGACTTCATTGATGTTGAGATTTTAGTATTGAGAAGTACAAAAAAGAATACTACTTTATAGTGAAGGCACTGTGGTGGTGTAGCTATTTTTTTAGCAGCTAGAGCTCTAAAGAGAAGTTTATTAAGTCCTTACAATACAAATGTTTCACTGTTTTTGCTTTGCTCCATTCTTCAGATTTTTTGCTTTACTCCATTCTCTCATATTTAGTATTGTTACAGGAGACATGATGGTATAGAATATTTTTTATCAGCTTAGGCAACAATCCCTATCAGGAGAGACAATTATCCAAGCTCTGTTAGCCTCTTGTGTGAATCACTGCAGTGCTTTTATATATGATACTGCATTTGGAAATGATTTGGATGCTTCAGTTGGTCCAGAATAGAACAGCAAGATTGATAGTAAGGACTGAGCATTAGAATCATACGCAGCTAGTGCCTGTTGCTCTGTAGAGGTTTCAAAGTACAAACAGTCCTCAAATTACGAGCAATATGGGTTCTGTAGGTTTATTCTTAATTTGAATTTGTAAGTCGGAACAGATACATTTTTAAGTGTAATACCAGCCGTGTGTGTGTGTGTACATGCACATARGTATGCATGCATGCACGCTTTGTATAGCATAGGGAAGGGTTAACACCCTTGTGGTGTTTGTTTTGCTGTCTGTYCCCCTGTTCAGAAGATTTCACCTCACTTTCTATCCCTGTGATAATTGGATTTTGAAAAAAAGAAATGGCTTGTTGTGGAAACAATGWTTGGTAATAAAGCTTCAGTGAAGGCACCTTTTCCTTACGATAAATCTTCCAGGAGTGAATTTCCCTTCCTAGGGGTAGATTTCCCTGACTRCCTGTTGTCTTACCCCCATTTGTAGCTATGAGTTCTTTGTTAGTCAGATGTTTGTAACTTGGGGACTGCCTGTACTGGTTTTAAACTAAAGTCTTAAATGGCATCATGATCATAATTTGTTCCCCACCCTCTCCTCACAGCTCAAGGSGGGATACAACACATAAAATACATAGTACAAATATTAAAGACAGTTTAGGCCTGCTGGAAGAGATAGGTCTTTAATTGTGTCTTAAATTTTGACAGCTTAAGACAAGGTTATTGGAAAGATGGTGGTACTGGTGGAAGTGGAGATGAAATCCTTTCCCATCTCCCAGCGATCTTTATATAGGTGAACAAGCTAGTATTTAAAGGCCAAAAATGTTTTCATCTTTGCATTTATATAAATAAAAAACAAAGGAAAATACTTTCTATATTTTACTCTGCTGATTGAGCTACAAGTTTTGGTAGGATTTTTTAAAAAATGCATATTTATCAATTGAGTTATATCAGTAATACCTACAGATAAATGTTTCCTGGGCTTCAATTTGAAGGCTAGTCAAATATATTTTGTCCATAAGGGTGCAGCATTAAGCCTTATTGTAGCTTTCTCTTTTCTTTCAGTTTTTTGGAACTCTTTTGTCACCTTTGAGCTTCATGATGGAGAAGATTGAGCGCCTCATGCCTGCTGGCCTTTGGCATCAGCTGTCTCAAATTTGAACGACTGGAACTCAGTGCTTGGGTCATGTTCTCAGAAACTCTTGTATCATCAGCACCCTTTCTAGTGCAAAAAGACTTGGGACTAAGGGCGTGAATAAAGGAAAACTCCAGGAATGAGTTTTACATCCTATTGCTGGTGCTTAAAAATTACTGTACCCCTTGTTAAGCCTTAGAACTTGTATAACTTTACAAACACACAATAGTGTGTGTCAGGGTGTGTGGGAAGTGTTGTGCTTACTTGAACATTAGTTGTACAACTTGGGGCTGCTGCTTTCTCTTTAAAAAAATCCAGAAAGCAATAAATCTGGCAAATTGTGACTTTGAAATTTCCTTCTTAACTGCAAGGGGACTTAAATGTTTGTTGGCCAAAAACAAATGTAACTTTCAGGGCTGGCAACATTGAGCACCTGCCAGTGCCACACACTGGTGAGGCAATCCATTGCCACAGTGTGGAGTCACTTTCTTGGCTGCTCATCTGTTTTTTTTTTCCTCCCTAAGCAAATGATCAGGCACAGAAATAAAAGAAAAGAAACAGCAGCATTTGTGTAGCTTTTCCTTCTATTTAGAGCCATCTATGCAGATAGGTGTAAAGCAGGGATGGGTATCATGCAGCCTGTGGACCACATGCAATCATTTGGGGTTCTAAGTGTATCCTTATGAATTCTGCTGACACTTAAATTTGGAGACTTTTTTTTTTCAGGCAAAACCTTGCATTATCAAAAAAAAAATTCCCAAAGGCCAAAAAATCACCCCAGGACTGTCACAGCATTACTTCTAAAGGAGCTAGAAAGCTGTGTGACTTTCCAGGTTCTGGAGCATGCTTACCATAACTTAAAATGAGAGGGCAAGGTAAATTGTAGCTACGATAGGGATGACGAGATGGGTGCCCTTGAGGCAAGGAGCTCATTGTAGGTATTTTGACCATAACCTGCCCCCTCTTCCAAGTCTAGAGGTACAATTGATAAATTGAAATCACATTCTGAAACAGCCCGGTTTTTATGCTTTTCCAAATATGGACACCACACACTAATCTTGGAAGCTTAGCAGAATTACTATTATGTGGGCTCCACAATTTTACCTCAGTCTTCAAGATAGGACAGGATATAAATTTATCACAGGACATGGTCGTTCAATTATCATCGTCTACTTACATGCCTCTTAAGGAATTGTGCTGTTACTAAAAAGCCCATGGCTGCACTTGTCCAACCAGAGATTAAATGAGTTAATGTGTTTTCCCCCACATTTACCATTCATTGAAACATAAATCATGAGTTTAATAAGTGGACTTTGTCACTCGTACTTGCAGCTGTTTCTGGAATTGTTTAACTGTTCCTAGTGCTTGATGGAGACTGATACCTTGGGAAGAATTTCTTTGAATTGCAGAGAGCAAAACTGATAGCTTGCTTTGGCCTTTGGCCTTGTAGAATCATTTACACAGCTCATGTTTTACACCTTACTCCTTTTGATTCCCTTCAGAACAGCAGCTATGTGGGGAAAAGCATAAGGGCCCAAATCTTCTGAATGATAGCAGTCAAGCATTAGATACCACATGCATTTCTTAACCTGCAAGTATGGTCATCTAAGTAGTGCTTCCACCAAAGATGTATACTTCCTGCATTAAATCAAGAAACAGATAGAACCATCTTCACAAAGGATCATTCTGTGCTTTGCATGAAGGTTAGTTATTAATTTTGATGCATGTGTTTGTACCACTTTCTAGAAAATGACTTGATAATTACATTCCAGATGTGTTTATATAAGAAATTGCCTAAACATTGGTTTCATGTTCTGTAAAATAGTATCAGACAACTGAAATCAGTTCAACACCCCAAGCCCATTTTTATTTTTATTTCATGCTTTTCTCAATTCTGGATATTTTTCTCCTGTGACAACTTTATCACCTACCACCCCATCTGTACTTAAATTTGCGTTCATTTATGACAACACTGGAAAGGGAGAGATACAAATTGCTGGAACTATTCAGCTACCAGGAGGTAGCTCTCAAAGTTTTCTTCCAAATGAACGTAAGCCACAGGGGCTGTTTCTCACGCTGGTATCACTGTGATGATTAATAGTCATGTTGTGCTCATGCAATTTCACTTCACCATCCACAGGGGCCCATAAGGTAAGCAATATAATGCTTTTTAAAGTTGAACCTTTTCCAGCATATGTGTGGGGTTATAAATGAACTACAGCCTCCCATGTATCACTCCCTAGAGCTGGTTTCTCTCACTGTCTCCTCTCAGACATGAATGTACTAGAATGGGTTGGGGTTGTGGTGTATGTAGAGCTGGCAATGTTCTGTAAGGTCTAACACTGTCAGCAATTCTTTGCCTAGGCGGTTCCCATGAGAAAAGAATAGTATATAAATATCAGATAAATATATATACATACCATGTTTGTTGGTTATATACATTTTGTTCTATTTCCCTTGTAAAACCTCTTGCCATATTGAAAGTAGGAGCCGGTCCAACATCACCTCAGCTATCTCTTTAAGCTCTTTTGTAACACATTCATTACAAGTTGAATACTGCACTTAGAGTGCATGAGTTCATGTTAAGCCTTTTTGATAAATTTTCTATAAATTGAATTAGATCCATTTTGGATTTATTGGTTTTAAATTTCACATTTTTTCTTCTTTAATATTTAAGAATAGCAAACTCCATCATTTGACAAGTCTTACTATTATGCTTTTCAGGTAGCATCCACTAACTGGCAATTTCTAAGCCATGTTATTTTCAGGATGAGTATTTGAGCTTGAACAGGAGGACTGGCTCATTTCATTGCTTAGACTTGAAATAACCTAATAGCTATTCCAATACATGGAATAATGAGAGCATTCCAGATGTTGCTGGACTGCCAGCATTCCTTCTATTGACTAAACTTTTAAAAATGTGGGATACATGATTCCCACCCTGTTGTGAGATTGTTACCCCTGGTTTAGATCAAGGCAGTTCTAAGACTAATGATGATGATGTTCTATGCCTTCAGATCATTTGCTACTTATAGAAGCCTTGAGGTAAACCTATCACAGGGTTGTCTTGGCAAGATTTGTCTAGAAGGGGCTTGCCATTTCTGTGTTCTGAGGCAATAAAAGTGTGACTTCTTTAAGGTCACCCAGTGGGTTTCCTTGGCCAAGTAGGGGTGTGGACCGTGATCTCCAGAGTCCTAGTCCACAAACCACCTCATACTATGGTCGCATCATTGAAAAAGAAGAAACAAGACCCACCAAAGGTAGCCTGATCCTATCTTAGCATTATTATTATTTTTAGCAAATATCTAAGAGACAGAGTTTATCAATTGTACAGATCAGCCTTTAAAAGTATATACGTGATCTTGAGGGGTGATAAACCTTCCATCAAAACCTGCAGTTCCTTGGCGGTACTTTTCAGCCACATATGGGCACTGGGTAGGACCTACAGCCTTTCTTCTTTCTGATATTTCCTTCTTTCTGTAGGTTTTATTTTCAGACACCTTTCCCTCTACTCTTCAATAAGAGTGCCTGGAAGGAGACAGATCATCCTTTCCAGAGAATGTTGTAAAATTCTTCTCAAATTAGTTCTAAAATCATGGGTTCCAAGACCTACTGGAGAAACAAAATAGTACCTACACAATCAAGTTAAAGCAAAATACAAATAAAACAGTACTTTAAAATATTTCAAAAATTAAATAAGCATTCTTTAGAAAACTAATCTGAAGCAAAACAGGTAATACATAATAGTGAAGATGAAAGTATGGCAACTGCATTAAAAGATTCTCCTACAATAGTCTTGTCTAATCAAAAATGCATTTCTTTGCCAGCAGAAAGAGAACAGAAAAAGGGCCAGATTAGTGCTGTGGGGATCCACAGCCTGGGTCCTCACAGCACATAGCATCATTTCAAAGACATACAGAAATTGAGAAGACTCTGTTAATCTGGATCCAAGCCATATACTAGCATTTGGAATTGTGCCTGGAAACAGGTTGGTAGCAGTGAAGTTTTGCAACACAGGCATTATATGTTCCTTATAACCACTCCCAGTGTAGTTGCTGCATTTTGAACCTGATGAAGTTTCTAAAGGCAGTGTGTGTTACATTAAATAGGGTGTAATTAATGTATATGTCACTAGCAAGATTTCACATCTCCAAGTCTGGATACAGCTGGCAACCCATTTTAACTGTGCACACACTCCTGATTCCCGCTAAAACCTAGACAGACATCCAGGTTGCTGGCAGACTCAAAGAATGCTATCTGTGGACCTGGGATTTCAGGAGAGAGTGTTATCCCAGATTATCTCTCTTCTTTGATCTATCTTTTGACTGATCAGGGGCACCTCTGAATTGCTTGGATTCTGCTTCAATTTGTTTTATCTCATTCAGTCCATTCCCAATTATAATGACTGGTTTAGTACTGAATCCTTTTCCATACTAATTGATACTAAATCCCAAAATACTTGACCTGTGGTTTCATGTATGTGTTAAATAGCATGAGAGATGTGCCTCAGACCTAAGAGAGACAACTCAGAAAAATGTAACGGTTAATGGTATTAAATGCCTCTGAGAGGTCAAGGAGAACCTTAAGGAACATACTCCTCCTGTCCAGTTTTGAATGATTAAAACCATCTCTGTCCCCTAAATAAGCCTGAAGCAAGATTG